TGGAAAATTCACACATTTCCTTCTTAAATGCTAACCAATTCTGAGCTATAAAATATTTTTAGATGGTTTAAAATATTGATACACTGTGGAGTCGAGTTTCACTTTACTTTAAGGGTAATTAGGAAAGAAACACATACCCCAAAACAAAAACCCGATATCTTAAATAGGTACTTTAAGATTTTTTTTCAAATTTTCGACCTTCCTCGATTTTACAGTGACCCAAACGCTCATAATTAAAATTTTGAACCCTTTGAAGCATATACCTAGTGATATTGGTGGCTTCTTCAAATCATTCATTGTTTCTGGATTTGTTTCATACACTCTAATCTATGGACACTCCCAAAATTATTTATAAACATTTGCGTGTTTTTGAATTAGATTAGCGTGCTCGCGTTTAAATAAATTGTAATCACGAAAGCGTTGTGGTCCAAGGTGCAGAATGTTCATTGCGTCTGTACGGTTAGATGCTAAAGAAAACAAGTATACTAATCAAAACCTTGCACATCTCTTGTGTATACGGAGTGTTACTAGGTTCTAAATAAAACAGTAACCGGTAAAGAAGTTTAACGACAATTAAATCGCGCTTTTGCTGACTGTTAAACCGTAAGCTATAAGGGAAATTTTTTGACATTTCCCTACTGCGGAACATTGGTCAATTACTCCAGTGGATAAACAAAAGTTCAAATATTGCAGTTCAAGAAACCTGAAGCCCAGTTTGTTCCTAACTTGAAGTAATGAACCACCACCCAAAATTTTCAACAATAGACGTTCCAACATCCAATTCTTTGAATTTCGGCTTCGTTTTAAAAGGAAAAAATCAACTGCCAATGGGAGGAAACCTTAACTCATCGATGAATGTAAGTTATTTTAATTTTTTACATTGGTCCGTATGAATAAAAGTAAGCAAATGCTTATACTGGCAAAATTCAAAGTAAATACTCGTAAGTGCTCCTTCGCACTGGGCGACTTAGCAGCGCTTCTAAGCAGAAGGACAGGACGCAGTGCAGCGCTGCTAAACCATGCTAAACAGACCAGTATGAAGGGGCAGTTACGAGTATTTACTTTGAATTTTGCAAGTATAAGCATTTGCTTACTTTTATTCATACAGGCCATTGTGTAAAAATAGAAGTTAATCGTTTTGGGAATTTTATATAAAAGATTAATGCTTAAAGTCTATTTAACATTCTTGGACAGGTCGACCCACGGAAATATATTGCATGAACAAATTTGTATATTTGTTATCCAGACATAAATTTAATTTGTAAATAGATTGTAGCGTGGTTTTTTCACTTAAATTTGATTTATAGTAGATTACATACCGAGCTGGGAGGTGGTTCATTACCTACCCCGCGGGGCGCGCGTCGGTGAGGTATAAGCGCGAGGCGTTGGTTATGAACCACTGACCAGCGAGGTTTGTATACTATTTTACTCACAATCGATCATTTAAGGTAAAGTATATAATTCAACAAGGTGTTACTTTAACTGTCAATAATAGTGACACCGCCAAGGTAACCATTAATGTTTACAACAATAGCAAATAGTTTCGTTCTTCTTCGTAATTTGCAATTGTTGTAAACATTAATGGTTACATTGGCGGTGTCACTATTAGTATAAGTTTCATATAAGGATAATATGAATAGCATTTGCAGGTAAGGAAAGTGACATATGCTAGCCGGGAAAGTGACAGCTAGCCGGGAAAGTTACTTTCCCGGCTAAGGTGAGTAATGAGTCGCTTCGCAACCGCTATGAAGGTTAGGAATTCAGATAATACTAACCGATTGTGAGTAAACATTCTTTCTCTCATTTTAGTGATATTCGTACGGCATCTGTATTTTCTTTGTAATCCGTTTAGTTTAGATGTAAGTTAGTTCTGTAGTAGGTTTGCTATTACTTTAGTTCCTTAGTTTTGTCGCTAGAGTTCACCCTTTCTTTAATTTTGTCTTGCGCAACAGCTGTACGTGTTCCTTCTCAGAGTACATCTTGTATGTATGTGGTTATTTGCAATTTTTATCTTGATACGCCTTTACTTTTACTTGACCTCTCCACCTGTGGTCTCTGTCTAATGTCTCATAGTTGTTTGGATCGTTTATTTCTATTTCTGATGTCTTGCGGATTTACCACCTCGACGCAGAACCTGGATGATACCGCATTTGTACCTGAACCTGCCATCTTTGAGAGTGACATTGGCGACGTAACGTGATAAATTGCCACCTACTTCGAAAAATTTACACCTGGAGGACATTTAGTAACCGCAAGTGTTACCAAACCTTTTGGGGATTATTGCTTAGAAATTTGCGATCCTACGTACTATCTGTGTTACACGTTTGTTTTTTACTGAATTGCTTTTGAATCGTAAATTTGTTTTTGCAGTTACCAAGATCTATTCCGGAACCGATATCTACGACTTTTATTCACGTTGAGCCATTACAAAGAATTTACTAGTGTTAGTGTATTTAAATTTTAAATTAATTAAATCATTGTTGTATAGAAATTTATTTATTTGTCCTTCCTAAGGTAGATTTCTTGAATGAACGTCACGTTTGTGCTTTTACTTCACCGATTTATACGGACGATTCGCTGTCGAGTCAAAATGTTGCTTTTTGTCACGTCATTTGAATTATTGTTTCTTATTGAGTAGGTATTAAGTACGTTTTAGTATACGAGTACTTGATTAGTGTCAGACGTTAAACTTTGCACCGCAATATTTATTTGTCGCGCTATTCACTATCCCTCTTGTTTTTTTTGTGTAGTTATCTGTTACAGATAAGGCAGGAAAGCGCTCTTCTGAGCTCAAAAAGCCGTTCCGACCTGTTGTTCAAAAGTATATTTTTTATTTTCGGCGATTTTAAATGTTAAATTTAAAATGTTGACATTTCAGATCTAGATATTACCTAGAGACAACAACTGTTGTTTCTGTTCTACCCCGTCAATTATTTTATTTCTTTAGATTATCAAGACCAGAACAAGGATCTCTTAGCCTGCCTTGTTTCCTCCTTTCGGTTAGTATTCTCTCTTCTCTTTTGAAGTTTACTAAAGACAAGTGACGCCTATCTGGTTTACTATTGCTATATTTCTTTTCTGATCCATTTAGATGGTGTAGGAAAACTCCATTATTCGATTAGCTCGAAGTGAACGTAACAAGATACATCATGATTTCAAAATAGTTGCACCAACAGAAAGGTGACTCAAAAGCGCGACATAAATCGTTTACCCTGCAATGCTGGAGCAAATTTGACACCAACCACACCAACATCAGAGACCGTGAGCTCACCACCACAGTTTTGTAAAATTATAAAAGAAAAATGGTAACGGTGAGAAGGAAATGACTTTATTTAAGATCATCACACTCTGAAAGGTCTTTCAAATCTCAAATTTGCTCAGGATTGCCATGGAAAGTACCACGGAATTGAATTCTCCTACTTGAAGGAATCGCAGAGCTGTTTTGCTCATAAACACATTCCTCTCCCTTTTAACATGAGACAGAAATGATTACATTTTATGCTAATAGCAAAGGTAGATTTAAAATTCCTTAAAACATGAAGCGATCTTCCAACCTACAGACAAAAACAGTTTCATTGATAAAAAATAAAACTTTTCCCTACAATATGAGGCAATCGTTCTATACGTGATACTGCTAAAGTGGCGGTGTGCTTCTAATATTGTAGTAATTACTTCCTAAATTTGGGTACTGCATCAACTCACTGTCGAACGTACCAAAGAAATCAGGTAAAGGATAAAAATAAGAAAAAATCCCTAATGGGCTCTCGTTACACAAGTGCAAAAGATGATAGAGTGCGTATTTACCTGCGAAAACCAATGATTTCGCTACCGGCAATGTCTTCTGTAGGATATGTGGGAGATGAATTGTGGTGACATTTGCCCTTATTATGTAATCGAAACCTAATTATACTCTGAAGGTTTTCTTTCAGTTTTTTTTAACTTCGTAAACGAGTTCCGCTTGATACATTTGCATGAAATTATCACCTACAACACTTAGTCAAGACATTCTCCCGCCAAATTTTACGCAAAATGCGTGGCTCCGTACCGGGTAAATTTAGGCGCAATGCTTGCCCTAGCAAAAAAAACCAATTTCAATTAAGCAATTGCAACAAGAGCAATTTAAGGATTTCATGCATATTGAACAACGTTTTTAAACCAACCTCATTCTAATATCCGTAATTACATATTACGAGTGAAGTTTATGGGTAAAACTCACGCTTTAATATCAATTTATTTTTATTCCGCACGCTACAAAGTAGAATTTTCATTCTCACGTTTCGCTGTGGATTTTCCATTTTTTTTTGGGTAAATTCAACGATTAAAATATACTTAAACATAGTACATAAAATAAATTATGAATCACTCGCGTAATCAGTTCTAATGGAAAAGTTAATTCCAATATCCTCCCAGGAATCGACAATCCCATTATCAGCTAAATGAAAATTTCCCAATTTATTCAAATGGGGTTAATAGAATGTAAGAAATTAATATTTGATCGGATCTTAAAATCGATTTGCCGTAATTATGTAGTTTAAATACTAAACCGGCGTCGATTAAATGCCTACTTCAATAGCGACCGAAATTTTATTGACTGGATATTAAAGTCTCTGAGGAAATGATAAAAGGGATGGCGAATGGTTAGCACGTTCACACTAGGGTGGCTGAAATCCTTTGAAGATAATCCAGTTGTGGATTATTAACAGAAGAACAAGATTTACAAGCGATTATGCTCTAATTATGCGTCAGTCCAAGTTTATTATTTACTTATCGGCAATTCTATTCTTCTCATAAAATATCTAAATGAATATTAATGGCAATTGTAATTTTATTTCAACACTAATGAGGCGTCATTGATGCTCTCGTATTGTGCGAACGATTTCAAAATAGAACCGCCTTCAGTTTGAGATGAAAAAAACAGAAGCCAGGAACTAGGTGGAGTCGCCGTGGCCGAAGGTGAACTATTTGTCTATACTTGTCGCTATTAGAAATCTACTATTATTATTAAGTATGAAGGTCGGATTGTAGTATAAATGCAAGGGTTTGTCTTTCACAAATCGTATTCTTTCGATACACATACCAAAACAAGCACCTCAAAATGAACGCTTTGGTAAGTACTATTTTCTAAGATAATTGTAAATCTTAATACAAATATTATTGCAGATCTTATTCGCCTGCATCGTAGCTTGCGCTACCGCCAGCGGCTATTATGGTGGTGCTCATTTGTACGCTGCCCATGCTGTTCCCGCCGGACCCACCACCCTTGTTGGCGCATCCGGAGTTGTTGGACCCCATGGAGCCGTAGGCCCCGCTGGTGCCGTTAACGGACATGGAGCAGTTGGACCTAACGGAATCCCCAACGCGGTGCACGGTGGAATTATTGCCGGACATGGTCTTGGTCTTGGATACGCACACGCCGGAATCGGTCACCTCGGTTACGCACACGCCGGAATTGCGCACCTCGGTTACGCTCACGCCCACGATGATGGACAATGGCACGGTGAAGGTCTCTGGGAATCTCAAGATCATGCCGGACATGTCTATGGACACGGATGGTAAAACGTTCTTCTGGTATTGTGTACCAATCTCATACTTTCCCCACCCCTTCTATCTCTCTCTTTGTATAAATATTTATAAATCTGTACATACTTTTATAAGAAAAAGTAATTACAAAACACTACCTTCCAATCTGATTTTTATTTTACTTTGCCTTTTTATACCTAGACGTTAAAGAGAGCAGGTTTAGTAACCAGGGCACAATGGTATGTCTGGAATACTGAATATATCTTCAAAACAACGTTTTTTTAAGACGCTCTTTTTGATATTATAATAAAATTTGTGCTACCAATCTACGTACTTTAAGCTTGGGGTCAGGGGCCTACTTTTGCATGAAGGGCATATTTTTTTAATGGCAAATATTAGTTTTCGTTAACGTATTATTAAAAGAGAGTACACTTTTTTGGATATAGTAGCATAAACAAAACTTCCCTCCAAAATATTCACCCTGTATAATGAATTGATTTTTTATAATCTCATCGTCACACATTTTCAATTTCAATTTTGGTTTCAACTTCAGGTATTGCACGCTTTAAAATGCCACTCTCAATAATTGTAACGGTTCCATGTTTTTTGCGCCATGATAGCAATACATTAGAAACAATGAAGATAATAATGAACATTTCTCAACAATTTACGAACAGAAAGAATATAGACTTGAAAGTATTACAACAAACACAAAAATGACCAGGAATGGCATAGTTTATGGCATGGAAGGCGGATACGAGAAAGGGATAAAGGTAACCGCGAAAATACAATAGAATGTTCTGGTAAAAGTGGATCCACTAAAGATTCACCAAAATAATCACAGGAAATACAATGAAAAATCGGTAGCAATGGTGGACCAGTAGATTATAGAAAAAAGTAAATAACAAAATAAACCAAGGAACCAATAAGGAAAAAAAATTGTATCTTTGACAGAAAAAATTTAAATCCAATAGCACAAACGCGCCCAAAAAGGCGCCCAAAAGTGTGTCATTTGAAGGATTAAGCCGCGCTTACCACTATTGTTTAGTACTTTCTTTCTTTTACTTTTTTAATTTTTATTCAAGGTGGTACGTTAGATTGTATTATAGTTCTTTATTAAAATGATTTTATAAACTGTTTTTTAATTTTTCAAAAAAAAAACTGGTTGATTGAGTGAGCGCATTTGGTTTTTAGAAATACTATTCCTATTTTGAACAATGTCCAGAACAACATTTATTCATTCATCCCCTCTATAAAAGTATGCTAAAAATTGCATTACTGATTGAAAGAAAACGAATATTTATTTCCAAAGCAACCACCCGAAAAACGGCTTTAAGTAGATTTTTGGTACTGCCACGTCATCTTCATTTGTTTGTATTGATGCATTGGAGAGATTGATAGCATTTACTGTAAATATGTGACGTTTTTTTGGAATGTATGGGAATATTGTTTAATTAACTGAGTAGAAAACGTTTGGGTCCTAACGATAAAACTTATCAAACTCAAATGCGTTACAAACACAATAAAAACAGGAATTCTGAACTCAAAAACCATTTAGATACTCTCGCGATAAAATACCACTAACGGTATCCCAGATAGTGATACGCCACAACAGCAAACGAACTATGATAGTCGCACCGAGCGTGTAAAACGAGAGACACAGCTCGTGTATAATTTTGGACTTTCTCTTCGTCCGTCGGTCCGTCTGTGTACCGTTGTCCTATTTTGGTTGACACTGTGCGATGTATCTCAGCGGTTTTTAATGATAGAAACTTGGGGTTTTCGCGACCATGTGCCACTTTTTTTGTTAAAATATTAATTCCACAAACATAATCAATCTATGTCGCTTTTGTTTTTGAGATACAGGGCGAAAACGAAAAGTTTGACTTTTTGAAATGTTATCCTATCTTGCTACTACACATGTAAGATAGAAAAAAGGTAACAACTTTTTCTTTTAGACATTTTTACGTAGAACCTAATGGTTTAGTCAACAAAAATTTTGGGACCACCATTTCTGAGATTTGACCAAATGTTGGTATTTTTCAAATGCAATAACATCGATGTATCACAAAGTATATATTTTTAAATAATATTAAATCATTTTTTTCAAAAATTTGAAATGACATGTTTCTACCGTAAGCGATGTTCATTGATTGGGATCGGCCGCCATGAATAAAATTAAAAAACAAAATCTCCATGAATCCATGGCGTACTATTTAAAATCCGGAGAACATAGGTTTTCATTTTTGATTCATGCGGCTAAACTTTAAAGAAACATAGCTTGTAATACATCGATTTAATCAGAAAATTGACTTTAAGATATGCACGGTCTCGCACTTTAAAAATACCAACTTTGGGTGAGATCTCAGAAACTGGGGTAAAAAAATTAATGTTTACTACGCCTCTGGATTCTACGTAAACATATTATCTAGAATAATAGTTTTTATTTTTTCTATCGTACATAGGTAATAAGATACGATAACAACCAAAACAGTTAACCTATTCGATTTCAGCCTGTATCTCAGAAACTAAGCTAGATTATTGATTCTGTTTGTGGTATTAAAGTTTCACAAAAAAGTGATACAAGGCCGCGAAAACCGCAAGTCTTTAACTGCTGAGATACACGCAGTATGAACCAAAACAGTACACGCGGTACATAATAATTCGCGAACAGTTTCGAATTTTCCAATTCTGTTTGCAGAAATAGGTAGACCATAGTCAATGGACGAGCTGATTAAATTTGGGTCGTTGTCTATAATTGGTTTGAAACAATTTATTTAACTTTGGAAGTCTTTGGGCTCCTCATTTTGTGTAGATTTTGAGCCATTTACACAGTGTGTGGTTATTCGCCTTCTCCATAATGCCATAGGTACTCATTTGACAGTAGATTACATGGCTTATCCCAGTTGACAGTTTCGTAGTATTTCAATATTAATTCAATTTCAATACCATTTTCCAAAAAATAATAAAATAATAAAAATATGATCAAATGGATTTGGAAGTTCGATTTCTTCGAGCATCGAATAGAATGGGGTAGTCCCCCTATACGAATTGAGGAACACGAGAGTTGGCTCTGCATTCTAGCATTGGCAGCCACCTGAATACGTCATCCAGCACTCGATAGTGGCCAACCTTTCCATCTTTGTTCAACTATCTCTTGAGAATCTTTGAGAGCTGAACCACTAAGATCTTTCATATCCGTTTAAGATCCTTTAAGGGTCCTTAAGAGGCAAATATAATTAAAGAGTCAAAGGGCCACTTTAACATATTTAGTATATAAGATCTTTAAACATGATTTAAGATTTTTTAACAGTTTCTAATTTCTAAATGGTGTTTTTTAAGACCAACGGAGCATCCAATCGCGGTTTTCTGTACAAATCAGCTGTCGTTGGGCACAACGTTACGACAAGCGACGCATTTTTGTGGGTATGCACCCGCACAAGCCGTGAATTTTTCTACCGTGACTAACGAGAACACTTTTAGCATTTACCCATAGGGTTATACCAGTGAGAAAAATGTGTACACCAGAATTCCAGAAGTGTATAAACATTTCAAAAAAATTCCATTAGACTTCAAAAAGACTTCCAAAACTGCAAAATAAATCCACTGAATTCCAAAAAATTCCATTCACTTCGTTCCATTGCATTTCGGTGACTTTCAAAAAGAATTCCAATAAATTCCAGTGAAAATTTTAAGTTGATAATTAAGTTATCAATATATAGCTGTCTAAAAAATTGGTATTTGTTTATGTAGCTACATGTTGTGATTTATCCTTTTATTTAAGGAAAAGTCAAGAGAAACTTTAAATTAACTCTGATATACAAATTGAAAAGTATTGTATGGAAGTTAGTGATTTAAAAATACTTTCACATCTTCCTTTAAACTAAAATATAAAAAAAATATTTGTTGTCCATTCAGTAACACACATAGTATTGGAGAATTAATATCACCGTCATTGTTAGTTTATTTGTAGTTGTCATATATGTTGATAGTATTTATTTTATTTTTGTCGCAAATGGATGTAATCGTGGAAGTGGAAGCGCAGCCACTGCGAAAAAATGAGCAGCAATGCTTCAGGTTCAAAAAATAAACAAACTAAGAAAATTTAAAAGTGGCACTTGGTGAGTGCGGCGGAAGTGACTAATTTCTGCGTTCTCACACTCCTTCGCTTCTCTTTTTCTGCCGCGATGTATTATTATTTATTATATTGGCTTGACTCGTAATTATTAAAGTGCTCAGACTATTTTCGTGAAGTATTCGAAATATTTAACCCAATACGAGAACATAGCTTCGTCTTCGAACATTTGGTGGTTTCTTTGGCTTTCTTTACATTGATAAAAAATTTAAGGAATTATATTTTCCTAAGATATTTAAATATCGATGACATTACAAACTCTTGAAGATTTTTTTGAGCTTGCTCGCAATGGTAAAAAAAATGCATGGAACTATTTTCATGCACGAGATGAATTTAGTCAGGCGCAAAACATACAGTCATACCGAGCCATATAGAAAATACTAACTTCAAAGAGTTGTTTGAATTCCAGATGTAAATAAATAAAAATCAGAAAAAAATAAGCCACAACCTAAACCTTGTAAAACACTTGGAATTCCAAATGAATTCAGAGAAGTTCCATGAATGTCATGAATTCCATATAAATTTCATGCACTCCAAGAGGTTGTGCACCAGAATTCCACAGCCCCTCGCGTTTGGCCCATGTTTTCCGCCATCTTGCGGCTAATAAGGTAAAAATTCATCTGCCAAGACGTTATTGAAAAAAATCCGTTTATGCTTTTAAAAAGAATATTACTCTTTTCATAGAATACAAGGGAGTTTTACATTACAGCTCCTTCCATTTGAGTATGTACAGATAAATAAATATTTAAACACATACAATATGTATGAAAGTATTTGGGTATATCCAACAACGTTTTACCATCCGTGTCCATGTCCATAGGCATGTCCTGCATGGTCCTGCGATTCCCAGAGACCTTCACCGTGCCATTGTCCATCATCGTGGGCATGTGCGTAACCGAGGTGTCCGATTCCGGCGTGTGCGTAACCGAGGTGCCCGATTCCGGCGTGTGCGTATCCAAGACCAAGACCACCGTAGAGTCCATGTCCACCAACATATCCACCATGAACTGCGTTGGGAATTCCGTTAGGGCCAACGGCTCCATGTCCGTTAACGGCTCCGGTCGGTCCAACGGCTCCATGTGGTCCGACGATCCCAGACGCACCTACAAGCGTTGTAGGTCCGGCTGGTACGGCATGAGCATACGAATGAGGACCACCGTAACCGTAATAGCCGCTAGCGGTGGCGCAGGCCACAATACAGGCGAATGAAGCAATGATCTGCGAATTACATCATAAATAACAATAGTTAGATTAATTCAATTACTACTTACTAAAGCGTTCATTTTCAGTTGTTTGCTTTGGTATATGCGTTGAAGGAATACGATTTGTGAAAGATAAACCCTTGCATTTATACTATAATCCAACCTTCATAATTGTAATAGACAGATTTCTTTTAGCGACAGATTTATGCAAGGCTGAGTTGAACTATTTCGGCCAACGTTCCAATTTATTTATTGCACGAGTAGGTTAATTTAATGTGGAACCAGGGACTGAAGAAAGCGAAACATCCATTGCACTGCAATGTTCGCAGAGAACGAGTGCATCACTTTTGCATGCGCGTCTCATAAAAGCACACTTTTTTGAAACCCTCTTATTACTACACACATAGTCTTTTTGTTTTGGGCTGGTCTCGTAAAAATGTTCGTTTACTTTTTCACCATCCCTTACTGATAAACATTTGATCTGTAATTGTTAGTTTTAATACTCAATTCCCGCCTGTATTTCAAGAGTTGAAATCTTTTGCAGTATAGGTATCAATTGTTTCTAAGGGGTAGGTACCTTATTTAGGAGGCCATTTAATTAATATGCGAATTGCCACCGTATCCCCACAAAACCACATTTGCTTTGGTATCAATTTCGTTAGGGAAATAACCTTCAAGCAGGTTTTTGGCATGTTTCTTGAGTTTTATAACTTTGTTTCTAGACTTCCTATCATAAGAATTCCTTAAAATGGTTGTAATTGTAATCCTGAGGCAGTGTTTCTTAAAAATCATCCTCGTGATTGAACATTTTGTATTGAGGTTGTGGTACGTGCCCCCCTCCGGTATTATACTTCACGTTGTCACTGGTATTTTCTAGTATTGCCATAAAACGGTAGGAAATCTGAAAAAATTATCAAAGTCCTCGTGTGAGATCCAACGGACTTCAGCCAATTTTTGTGTGGCAGATCAGTATTCTATTAGCCAGTTTTGACTCCACTTGATCTTGTCGACAGCTACCACATTCCCTTTGTCAATATCCGCTTCAGACGTCCCGGTCACCCGCAATTCGCGTTTTGGTGGTTTTCGCTAAAAACCCTCGCCAAAATAGTACTCAATTATTGGAGCACTTCTCATATCTCGAGCTTCTATTGGCTACACGAGAAAGAGAGACCGCGATTCGAGCTTTAAGAAACTTTAAACTGTATGAGAAAATACGCAGCGGAAGATACCTTTTGGGCGCCTAAAATCGATTACTCCTCGAAGACGTTCCCTTTGCAAAAGGTGGTCAATTTCGCCCTTAGGACACAAAATTCTGTCACGAAGGAGTTAGGTGTGTTTACAAGACGACACAAATTTAACCGAACTAAAACTGTAGAAGATAGGAAAAAAAGAAAAAACCACGTCCTTAGTATAACACGCTCGGGAATGGCACCCAGATGTCGCCGACCTCACATGATGTAGCCTCGTCCCTAAAATTGTAATTACAGGGCCCCGGTACGTACACATACCTCGTATTTGTGCAAGTGTTTTTCTACCGGCCTACATTTGCTGTCAGCCAGCCAGCCGGCCGGCCAAAGTGAGATTAAAAGCTACCTTTTTTCAAGTAAATTTGCAAAAATGCGCTGAAAAGGAATGCAAAGTTCGTTAATGGGACAAAAAAAAATGATAAGCAACATCTAAAAAACCACGTGAGATCAAGTCCAGGATCATTTCACTTTAACATTACCAAGACATGGGAAACAAAAGTTGTCCACATATAATCAAATTATTTCGGGGAACAAGAGGAACTAGCGGCCTTCTGAAACTGAAACGTTTATCGATAAAATTGCTACAGTAACAATAATCTTAAAATTTTAATTTTATCCCTCTCTTGTTTTGGGACCTCAACAGGCATGCGCCCAATTACAGAGTGACCCGCATAATGCTATTTAGAGGTGCCTCTGCAGAAGGTCTTAAGTTGGTCTATACTACTCCGGTATTTATTTTACGAATTAGGAAAACTGCAGGAAAACCTAATTCGGAGTAGCCGGTAGAATACTCGGAATTGGTCTAAGGTAATTTCCATCTCTGCAACAGATGAAAAATTCACCTCAACCCAGGTTCGAACACCCGACCTCCGGATTTATAACCCAATGCTCTACCACTGAGCCATAAATCCAAAATCGTTGACTAATAAATCCGCATGGTATATTTTCAATAAAGTCTGGAAATAATAATTTGGTAAAAGACAAGATTGAAGAGGTGTAGAGACTTCATCAAAGGTCTCAAAAACAAGTCTGAGGAACAAAATTACCAAACGTCGGATTTTTCTTCCCTTTTTTAAGCCCCACTGTTGCGCGTCATTATGCAACGGGTTTGCCTATTACGGGAGTTGACCCTACCCTCTTTGAAATAAAATCTCTAACTTTTCAAAATCAACTTGACATTTTTGCAAACATTTCTTTATCTGGTCCTCGACTAGCCCTCAACTTAAATTCTACGGTGACGTATTTGGTACAAATTTCTCTTTCCCTATGTTTCAGAAAATTTAATTCAAAATCTGCTTTTCTAAATTGCTTACTCAAAAAATTAAAGAAAGGTTTCATTACAAAAAAACTGAGAAAAAATGTAAAGTTAAAAAACTAAAAAAAATGTTTCGCCAAAACGGTTAATATATTATTTTTGTTAAAATTTTGCGAATGTACATTAGGCATTATAAAGAATGTAGAACTGTCAAAAACTTCTTTTTAATAGTTTTTTGCGCTGTGACGTCATATACCTTTTTTTTTAAATACGGCAATATTTTTATTAAATTATTCGAAAGATTTTCTTTTTTGTGTAGTGGTGCACTGTTGTGATTTTGTTATACTACGTTTTATTACAAAAAGCCGGAGAAAAAATGTCAAAGTTAAAAAACTATCTGGCAGCTTAGCACGCGGTTAATATTTAGGATGAGTGATTGCAGAAGGTCGGTCGTTGCATTTTTTTGGTTTTAATGCAAAGAACTTAAGATAAAATATCAATACCTGTGTAAAAATATCAGTGTACATGTATATACAATACTGCAGTTTTTATAATGATTAATTAATATCACAGATTTACAGAAATCTGTGTTAATATTAATACTGTAAAGAAAAGTATAACCTAATATCTGCACCAGGCCGCCGATAAAGAAGTAGGTATTAAATGAATTATTAGTAATTAAAGAAAACCCAATCAAAAGATGAACAAACAAAAAACAAAATCGGTCCCCTTTTTCAAAAATGGGTTTTACCAAAGTTGGCTCTAGGTGGCTTTAATATTCTGACACTAAAATATACGTAAAAGCATCAACCAAGTTCAACTTTTACTTAAATTTTTAAATTGGGCCAATTTTTTAATTTGTAGAAATTTGTTGGAAAAAATGGGTGGTTTTTGATCGCTCGTAAAAAATTTTCTGTTGGAAAAAGATTGCTGTGTGCACTCTCCAAATACATGTCATTTGGATCCCAATGGTCCATTTAAAACAGTAAAATCTTTTACACCACCTTTTGCAGGTCAAAATTATTTGCATACTGGACTATGATCATAAATCGTAGAAATTTCATTACCTCACTGGTGCGGCCGATAGCTGTGACGTTGCAAATGACAACTGTCACGATTTATTGCTACGTTGAAAGGTTTTTATAACCTTTCCATTGATCTTATTTTCTTCGATATGGTGATTTTGTTTAATTAATTAATTAATTTAATTTACGCGATTATTCAACGAATTGAAATTATTTCAGTAGGTACATGTAAAGTATGCCATTTTTTGGATCATTGTCTCTGCGGTTTTTGCAAATGTTATTTGCACGAAAATGTTGGTCACTAATGCATACATAAGTTACAAAGTCCTAATTTTTCAAAAGATGCTCAATTTCTTACTCTTAATCGTGTACCACTGGAAATGTTTGCTTTGCAACAATGTCTCATACACTGGGGCGCACTTCAAAGTTTTAACAAGTTTAACAAAAAATGTATGAGATCTATATAGGGCTGAAGTTATTGAATTTGCCCATATGCTATTTTTGTGTACCGTCGTCGCCGTCATTTCTCGACTGGTGCCTTTTGAAATTAACACACACTACGTGATGTAGACATTTATCGTGCGTATGAAGAAAATGTAAAAATCTCTTGAAGTCGATTAAAAATATGTAGCTGTGTAACAGTATCCCTCAATGATTACCACTTATATAAGGGTAATTAAGGCCAGCATAAAATTGCAGTTAAAAATTGTGTTTGTATAATAATTCACGGTGATTTCATAAGGGCGACTTCCATAGGTGACCCACTAATTGAAAGTAAAGAGGATCTGGTCGCCACATCGACTTTACACTTAAAGAAGGACACCTAAATTGCTCATTTATTAATTAAATAATTATCTTGCACTTTTGCGGAAATATTAGTAATTAATCTCATTGCCTTATTTGAAAACTGTCACTGTTAGAAATTCCCTATTCTTTCTTAAGGTCGGATTGTAGTATAAATGTAACGGTTTGCCATTCATAAATTGCATTCCTTCGAAAGACATAGATACCAAAACAAGCACCTCAAAATGAACGCATTTGTAAGTACTACCTATCTATTTGTATAACAATTGTAACTTTCACGTAAACGTTTCTGGTAGATTGTATTCGCCTGCATCGTGACTTGTGCCAGCGCCAGCGGCTATTACGGCGGTGCCCATTTGTATGGCGCCCACGCCCACGCCGTACCCGCAGGTCCTACAACTCTTGTAGGTGCGTCGGGTGTAGTCGGCCCCCATGGAGCTGTAGGACCCACTGGAGCTGTAAACGGACACGGAGCCGTTGGACCAAATGGAATTCCTAACGCAGTACATGGCGGAGTTGTTGGCGGACACGGATTCGTCGGTGGTCTCGGTCTTGGATACGCACACGCCGGATTCGGGCACCTCGGTTACGCACACGCCGGAATCGGGCATCTCGGTTACGCACATGGCCACGATGATGGACAATGGCACGGCGAAGGACTCTGGGAATCTCAAGATCATGCTGGACATGGCCATGGACACGGTTGGTAAATCTACCCCAACCCTTCAATACGTTTTTGTATTTGTATAAGTATTTATTTCTTCCCATCATACTTTCATTAGAGAAGTAAATTAAATGCACTGTTTGTCAAACAACTTTTTACTTTATTTTAACGTAACCTTATACTGGAAGGTAAACTATGCAACCCTTCAGTTTACTGACAACATTGGAATTTGCCTTAGAATTTTCAGTCTGTATGAAACAATGTTTGGTGGACTATTTTAGATTTTGAAAGTGCTGGGGGTGCTGTACACTGTACAGTTACAGACGCAGCAAGAGAAGTACATGGTGCTATAGGTACTAAACCTTGAAAGGGGTACTTAAGCCAATAATTATGACGAAAGGGCATGTTTAAACCCTTTTTCGTGACTCGCAATTATTAAGCATTCCTTGATTTCGATGGTGGAACGCCTTGGGTAATACAAGTGAACCACTTGTATCGCCCGGTAAATTTGACTGTTTGTTGAGAGTAAATTTTGAAAGAACCATGAAAAAACTGAGTTCCAGGTTAATCCAAATTTGATCGTCGAACATGACGTATTCAATGGAATAATTTACCAATGTTTCACAATATGGAAATGTCAATTTTATGCTCATACTTTCAGGGTTTTAACAGTTAGCAAAATCACTAATTAACCTACTTTAACTTTTTACTGGTTGCCGTTTAAATTGGAATCTGATATCGCTCCATATAAACAAGACAAGTGCACAAATTTGGTTAATAAACTTGTTTTATATCGCAACCAGACACTCCAAATAACCGACATAAAAGATTGGTCACCGACGATAAGAAATGAAAGCGGATGTGGCGCATCCTTTCCGGGGAAATACGATGTGTTTTGTTCAAGAATATTCGGTTAACCGCACAAAATTGCTTATTTCACAATATATTTGAAAATTTGCGGGATCCCGCAAATACCGGGATCCCGCGGGATTGACATGTAACGATCCCGCAAATACCGGGATTGAAATTTTGCTGCGGGATTGCATTCCCTAGTGTCCCTAGTTGACCAATTCTCTCACTAAAACATGCGCACGTGCTAGGTGGTTTGATATTTATGATATTGTGTTATAATTTACATGTAGAACATTCGTTATTGGAATTTATTTATTTTTTTACGATTTGTAACTGTTTATTTCTCAATACATTTTTGTAAAAATCAATGGGTTTATCTGTGAAATTTATGACTGTATTCACTAAATTTTGTGCTAGTTCAAAAGTTGCAACCAGTGAAGAAAGTTTTCTGGTCATTAGGAACGTTAAAACAACCCCCAACGTTCCGTTATGTTCAAAATTTTACCCAGAGTCTACAATTTTAAGGAGATTTTAACAGCAACCGTTCCCAACCTTTGATCATTTTCGAAAATTTTCAAAAAAATCATATAATTAAAAAACCGTTCGATTTGGGCAGATGGTCACTTAAATTTATCCACACTATGCATCATTAAAATAAAGTGAATGAAAATTAGGGAATTCCATTTAAAATAGCGAAAGGATTGTAGCTGAAACAAGGCTCATTCACTAAAACATATTGGACACCTTATTCATATCTTTATTGTTTTATGTCCGTTATAAATGATTATATTATTCTATGACTAAAAATACCTAGGTAACCAGGTCACACCCCACGCGGATGAAGTTTGACCACTTCTGACAAATCGACGTCAATCTGAATGTTTTTATGCAGAAACCAGTACAATACATATTCAACACAACTTTTTTGAATATAAAGATTCATTGAACTTGTCAATTACTTCAAGGCCAACTTCATGCCTAAGTCATCATAAGTTAGTGATGAAGTAAATCATGTCCTGTGTCACATTATACTTTTATTAGATGCAGTGCTTGCATTTAAAATTTCACATTAATGACCAAATAGGTAACAAATTCACAATTCACAACATTTTTTGTGGTGATCGAATTCTATACAAACATTTATTCAATGATACAATAGTGAATAGAGCAGATTTTCCTAAATGAGTCGCGACCCACTGGTGGTCATTTAATAATGGGCCCTAGTGGGCGATTCATTCACCTATATACAATTTCCAAAAACTTGTTAGACTTGTTAGAGAAAAAAGCTAATATGTGGGTAAAAGATAAAAGGTAAAAGAAGATTCGAAATCGAAATTCCATAGTGCGGTGGAGCGATGGAACAGACTTTGCAGTTACATATTTAGGCATTAGGTTTAAGAACTTGCAATTTTCATAAATGCAACCTTTCCTATCTTATTACTGCATTTTCTACATGGATCAAGGCCATATGAAATCAACTTAAATAAGCAGTTTAAATAGCACCTTATTGTTCGATCCTCAATGGAACTAAACCTGAAACACGCCTAAATTACTCGTTTAATTAATTCAATCTAAGTGTCGCGGAAATAATTAATTTCATTGCCTTGTTTTAAATTGTCACTAGTAGGAATCTACTGTTCTAAATTTGAGGTCGGGTTGTGGTATAAATTGGAGGGCTTGTGTTTCTTAAATCGTATTCCTCCGATACACATATCAAAACATACACCTGAAAATGAACGCTTTGGTAAGTCGCATTTACCTAATGAAGTAATTACAATAAATTTTATTGCAGATTGTCTTCACTTGCATCGTAGCTTGCGCCAGCGCTAGCGGCTATTACGGCGGCGCGCATTTGTACGCTGCCCATGCTGTGCCAGCAGGACCTGCAACTCTTGTAGGCGCGTCTGGCGTTGTCGGTCCTCATGGGGCAGTAGGACCCGCCGGTGCCGTTAACGGACATGGAGCCGTTGGACCCAACGGAATCCCCAACGCTGTGCACGGTGGAGTTGTCGTAGGACACGGACTTATCGGAGGTCTTGGTCTTGGATACGCCCATGCCGGAATTGGCCACCTCGGATACGCACATGCTCACCACGATGGACAATGGCACGGTGAAGGTCTCTGGGAATCTCAGGATCATGCAGGGCGTTTCTACGGACACGGATGGTAAAACGTTATGGGATACAGTTACCAATCTCCTGTATAAATATTTATCTGTAGATACTTAAAAACAATTACATCCGTCCATCCACAGCTTTTGATTTTTTCTTTTGTGAACTATTGGCGACTTTCCAACATATGTCCAACTATTTCGTCTTTTGTTTAAAGTATCGGCCGCCTGAGTTTAAACAATCTTTTTAATCACCTAGAGAATATAATTGATCTTTAATTTCAACTGACTGTTGGTTAAGTGATAAACAGTTTTTATTCAAAATTTCATTCTTTCAGAATATTATCTCCAGAGCGTTCCATTAAGAACACAGTTATCTTATTGAATATCTTGATAACCTGATGTGCAGTTGTTTTTCTGATTGAACAATTTACTGCCATCGTGATATCGAATAATTTAATAAACTTTCTAGCTGCAATAATAACTAAGTTAGAAATAGATTGAATAGTTGGGATAGTATGAATACGTAGTTTGATGCTCAATATTTTCCATTTTTAGTAACAATTTTGAGGTACAGGACCCAAAAACTACCTGAGCAATATGTAAAATGAAGTAGCCATATTCACTATATAATTTAAACTTAACGTTACACATTTCGTGGAATTCTCTATTTTCGTTTCAAAAAAATTTTAATTTTCGAATTTTTAAAAACTAATTTCAGATTGGTGATTTTCATATTCAAACAAAATCATTTGCCAAATTCCGTCGCCTCATATTTTAGGGGTGCTCCCTTTCATGATAGAAATTTTGAAATTTTTTTTTGCAAAATTGGAAAGGGCATACCTCAAAACCTACCAAAGACGCTAATTTCACCACTTTTTTGAGGGTGGCGTCCAAAAGAAACACGTTGGACTCTCGATTTATTTGGAAATAGTGCTTGTTTTGATCCTCTCTCCCACCCAATTTTGTCTTACATACTTATATGTATCACCCTGTATATCAAATTACAGGTAGGAAAAATTAATATATAAATTCTGAATAACACGACTCGACTCGAAAAGAAGATTTTTTGTGGGAGACCCTCACACTAGCTCTAACCTACGTAAAGAGAAAATTGCAGTGACAGACGTACATCATTGCACAAAATCTGCCATTATCTCTCGGTCTAGTAGAACTCACTGTTATTGTTCGTGGTATTCTTACTGGTCGAAGAACACCCCTTTAGGTGCTGCAGGGGGCACTATAATTATTCTTCGTCATGCCTAGTTAAAGCGCGATGTACTTAAAATTTCCATGAGGTGAATTGCATCTTTTTTACTTCGCTACTGTTGGCGATTCATCCGTATCGTGCCTTCGAAGTTTGGGATATATTTCTCGTGTATGAGGCTATAATTGGAAAATTAAACACTCGTGGCTTCTGGCATTCAATCCAAGCTCGAATTTCAAATGCATTTACAAATTAAACACCAGGATCTACTTGGCAAAAGCAATCAAATTTAAAGCAGCCACATTGATCGAGATACCGGATAGCAACCACTTTATAGAACGTATCGACATATGTACATCATGAATTCTTGAAGTAGATTATGAAAGTAGGTCGCCTAGTACTATAAGTAGTTCAAGTTGGATCTGAGCACCAAGGCCATGTAACTTTCCATGCAGTTTTTAACAAAAACATTTTATTGCACCAAAGACGAATCAAATTCTGTGCACTTCACCCTTTCTCAGAACTTTTGCTACCTGCTTACCTGGTGCATTATGCACTAAATTTGGTTTTAACTTTAATTGCAACAATATTTGTGTATATTCCTGTGTGCAATGGCATGTGGTCACTACCCCACGCACAAAACACCCCTCCAGCTACCTCAAAGAAAAACAACCTTTAAATTTAGAATGGTAATTATTTTTCTCTTAGACGGTTGGCTACCGTTATAATAAAAAATTTCAATGTTGACTTTAAATTAATAATTAACTGCACACTTGACATAAATTTTGGACACCAATAGAAAAACTATTCGGGTCGCACAATGGATTCGAATAAACACGCAACTAATTGATTGACAATAAAAAAAAGTATTCCGAAGCACATGAAAGTAATAATAACAAAATCCCCGAAAGAAAGAAAAGTTAGTTTGGACATATTACCCCGCACGCAGGCGCACTCAAACTGACACAAAAAACGGTCGCTGACAGCTTCAGGAAACTTCATTTGTTCTTGATAACATTTTTGGTGACCAAATTGGGCTTGCTAAATTTGATGTCAAATGTTTGGTAGCTGTTCGGACGGTAGACACTTTTAAATTTTAATAACTGTACTAAGTTGATTGCTTTTTCAGCTCAACAAACTTCTTCCGTAACCGGACAATACACGTTAAACTGCATACAGCACTTTGGTTAACTTCACAAAACTGTAAAAATCGCGAACTGCGCCTTCATGTAATTTTATTGAGCGTAAAAAAATGTACACGCCTTTCAACCGTCGGGTCGTGAAAACTAACAGCCTCGTTTTTACCTTAACTCCAGTATTTAAGACAACACTACTTCCACCATAAAATAATCTCCTTTATAGATTGTCAAATAAATCGCAACGGAACGCGCCAATCGGCCCCACGTTTTCAACAAGAAACGGGCAATTCTTAATAAAATCTACATCCCTTTATTAGCACGAAAAGACACCGTATCGCAACTTGCAATTAACATGAAGATCATTAATGTAATGAGTTCATGAGCGCCCATGCAGCCTTTTGAGTATGTACAATTATCATGTAATAATTAAATGAGTTGCAGTAAAGGAGCGCCGATCGAAGAGATTTTGGTGTCAAATTGTTCACGTTTAATTATTAACGAAGCGATTGCCATATGTTCGGGAATTATAGCACGAAGAGGAGCCGAGTAATTAATTAAAAATCGAATTGATTTGTTTCGATTTCGTATTGAATACGAGACGAGTTGGATTTTACTGGCCATAAGCAAGTAAATCTTTTGCCTTTTTGATTGTCGTAAGTTACGTCTTTTGCCGATTATATTTGCAACCATACCGTACCTACTGATCCTTTTGCCGTTTTCTACCGCTGCATTAATTTCTCAAGGAAATTTGCCGGCTATCTGGCAACGTCGAATAGAAACGGTAATGCGGGACCTCTCCTGGAGCGTTTTCGCCAACATGGTGTAAGGAAGTTAATTATTTTCCGCCTTGAAGATACTTACGTCGAGGAACACTCGGTATATGGACTTGACGCGGAGGCTCTTTGTTACGAAAACCATAGCTCTGTTTTAAGAATTGGAATTAACAGGAAAAAAGAAGAGTTTTTTTCGTACTATTTTGAATTCTTGACCTCACCGATTGCACTTAAATTCCAATTAAAAAAAGTTAATTGCATGAACGAATAATGCAGTTGAGATGCGCCCAATTTTGTAATCATAATTAATTATTAACATTTAAATAAGTTGCAGGAAACCCGCCCTATTGAGCTAAGCCCCTGGCTAAGTCTTATTTAAAAAAAGCGCTCTTAATTAACTTTAATTTTGACACCGTTCCGTATTTTTAAGATGTAAAGTCGTTGTTTAGAAATCTCGGTGCGTTTTGCATCTTGCCGTTTGCATCCTCGCTAGTTACATTTTGTAGTACTGCCATTGAATAATAATTTATTATTCAATGGTACTGCGCAAAATTTTGATATTTCTGTAAATTTGCTTTTTTGCAATTGGTAATTCCAAGAGAGGATTCGAATTCAGAACTCTGGCTCAGTATAATAGTTCATACGTCATTCGAATCGAAGAAAAGGATTCCGATCTATGATTCGTATCAATTATTTTATGATTCACTGCAGCGCCGAGTTCAAGGAAGACAATGATGCCACTGAGACAACTGCTTCCCCAAAGGCGCCTGTTTTGATAGAGCATATTTGTTTAACTTGCTCTCTCTTTTTCTTATGTACCAAGAGAGCGTGTGATTTATTACGTCAATCAACTTCTGAAATAATAATGGATATCAAGTTCTGGATGAATGATTGTGTCGATTTATCTAGGAATTCAGTAGTTAAAAATAGCGATTCTGTAAATCCATCAGTAAAATATCAAAGAGACTTTTGAATAATGGGTGTACTTGTCTCTGTTTCCAACCGGACAGCTCAGTTTGCAAAGGCTAATTAAACCGTCTTGGAAGACCGAAGAGCCGCAGATGTCGTGGAAAGATTGAAAAATTGGTCTGTTTCTGTAGAAATTCAATTATTATTTCGCTGTGATTGTTTCGAACTACGATTTTGTGCAAGGTTACCTAATTCGCGTAACTGCGAAACAATTACTTCATGATCTTTTTTCCGGTCGGTCATAATCTCTCTTCACTCATTGACCACGGACCCTTCACACGGAAAGTACCAAACTAAAACAAATGTTGTAATGAATTACTTAACAAAATATTGCCGACGACCTTATTTTTTACGTTGGTACCAATTATTAACTAAATTGCAGACTCTGAAAATTAGAAAATGAAACGCCTATCCATCAACGTTAACAATTGGGAAATTTTCTTATGCTGATCAATAATCCGTGAATGTCATGTTTAGAAATACCTCCGGGCACAAATGTGAGATTTAAATTTTTTCATCGGCATTTTAATACTTTCCCGAACCGTAACGACTTACGGAATTTGCAAGTAGATTTGAAACGCAAGAATTCAAATTTGACTAACATAAATATAGGGTCGATCTCCATGCAGGTGTGTTGCCAATACTCAACGTTTCGTCGCAAAATTGGCAAACCCGCGTTTGTGAAGGGGCGAAAGTGTAACTCGGGTTGTTACAGGTTTAAATTTAATTTAGACTCGCACCGATTGTATAGATGAGGTCAAAAACAACTTTAATGGGGGAAACGGGGCATTGTGAACCGAGGATTTAATATCTGATCTACAGAAGCTTTGTTCTGACATGTACACTGCTGATGAAGTTCAAAGACTCCCTTCAATATTAAAGATTATATTTTATAGCAGACTTATTGCAGCGACATTACTCCGTTTAATTACTTTTATCTCCTTTTTCTTTGTTGCTATTGTTCACAACCAACCCAAAAATATTATCAAAGCTGGCGAGAATCCGCTTGATCAAAATAGTATAGGTAAAACAAACGCTTAAATTACAGAGTCGTCGTGCTTGC